CTTCCCTAACGCCGTACCTCGGGCGCGTTGGCCTCCGACCCGGGGCGGGCGATCACCGGCCCCGAGGCGTCTTCTCCTCCTCCCCCTGGAAACGCCGGGCTGCTCGCCGACACCCCGAATGCCGTCCCCCTGATGTCAGGGAGATCGTCTAGGATACCCCACCCCGCCTCGCTCTCGTCGTCATCGCTCGAGGAATCCGACAATGATGGTGATGGAGATGGCTCCACCAGGAGACCCTCGTGCCTCTGATGCCGGCGACGTTTCTCTAGCTCTTCGCGCTCAAGGTTCTTCCTCTTGTGCTTTGCCTCCTCGGCATCCTTCCGCTTCTTTTGTGCCTCGGCGTGCGCCCGGTTCACCGCCCGTCGCTCTGCGTCCTCGGGAAAGGGCGGCGGGGAGGCTCACACATCCCTCATCCCTTGTAGGAACAACGAACGCAAATAAGGGAACAAGAAAATGTGAGGAGCAAGGAGCCCTCGGGGGCCGCAGCGGCACGTGACTCACCAGAGAGATGTACCCCCGCGACGGGCGCATTAGGAACGGGGACAGACCACTGCTCTTCGGCCGCCCCTCCACCATCTCTTTCACCCGACGAAGAATCTCCTCGTCGGAGAGGGCGACGACGGACATCCGGACGCCTTCGATCGGCTCGTCCGGTGTCATCTCAAACAGGCGCTGTCATAGAGCCATCAGCGGCAGTACCCTCCGACGGTGGAAGGCTGCCACGACCACAGCCACCGTGAGGCCACGGCCGCACAGCCTCTCCAGCGTCTCCAGGAGCGGCCGCAGCTTGGGCTAATGAGCTATCGGGACACCGTACCTCCACTTCTCTGGCTGGCTCTCCACGATCCGCCTGGTGTAGGGGGGAAGTCCGCCATCATCGTTGCGGAGGTAGAACCAGCTGGTGTACCAGCGGCGATTGGTCGACGCGAGCTGGGCCAGGATGTAGAGCAGCTGCCGGTCTTGGCGCACTTGAAGAGTGCAGCCACCGGCCCTCATCGCCTTCCTCGTGCCCGTCATGCCCGTCGGCTTGGTGGTATGCCCTGCCCAGAAGAGGTGGAGCCACAACTCCTAGTGGGGGGCAATGCCCAGATACCCCTCGCAGACAGCGACGAAGATGGCCGCCTGCGCAATAGAGTTGGGGTTGAAGTTGTGGAGCTCCACGCCATAGTAGTGTGGGAGTGCCCGCATGAATCGGTCCACCGGTAGGCTGAGACCGCGCTCGTGGAAGGCCACGAAGCTCACAATGTAGCCATCATGCGGCCTCGGCTCTGGCTCGCTCCTCGAAGCAATCCACTCCGGCCTGCTGGGGTCGATGACCAGCGAAGGAGACCGTCATCGACAAGCGACTGCAGCTCCACCACAGACACGTCAGACAGAGCCCAAGGATCCACCTGAAGGACAACAGCGCCGCCGGCCATTGCGCGGTGGAGAATACTGCTACGGCGGTAAGGCTCTGCTCTCTCTCTCTCTCTCTCTCTCGCCCTTCTCCCTTCCTCTCCCCGGCGCTCTCTGTTTTTAGCAACGGCTCAAAGGCAGAAAAGGCGAATGCAAGCAAGGTAAGGAGAAGAGGGGCGAGGCTCGTCACGTATTTATGTAGGAAGGGGGCGAAACGGACGGGCGATGAAATCGGGAAGTTTCCCTCAGATCTGTCGCAGTTAATCCGGATCCGATTAAACCGCCCACGCGCCCACCTTTTTCTTATTAATCGCACGCATAGTAACGTCCCATCCGCTGACATCGCATCGTATCCAACCGCATCGACAGTAGGCGCCGTTCTGTCTCCCCGAGAAACCACCTCAAAAGGCGCACCTGCCGATTATCAGCCGATGGGAAGGGAATATTCCCCACCCGATTCCTTTCAGGCTAAGGAACTGAGCGCCGAGCCTGTTACGGTCCAGGGGTTCGAAGGCTGGGCCCCCGAGGGTCTCGACAGCCGCCCTAGGGCAACAGAGTCAGGGATGATTATGGGCGAGCCCGTACATGGCCGAGGCCCAAGCAAGCAATTGCTCAGGATGCCCTAAGTCATGTCCGAGACCGGCAGGGAGGTCTCTGAATGGGATCCCACCGTAGGGAGGCATCGAGCCCCCGAGGCCAATCGAGCGGCCCTAGGACCCACTGGAGAAGCCCTCTGGTACTTTTGGAGTGCGTCTCTAGACCGCTAGCCGACCCCTATCGAATGAGGCACGGGCCTCCACTCGGACTTACCCGATAACAGCTCACCGGAAGTGTCACCGCTCGCGCCCACCGAGGGTAGCCTGGCATATTTCACCCCTCCTTCCGAGCGAAAAGGATGCGCGAGGGTCGCACAAAAACGACAGGGAAACTCCTGATCGCCCTCTCGCTCCGTGCGGAGGCTCGGGGGCTCTTCCTACAACCGAGCCGAGACCCAGTGACCCAGGCTCGCACTCGAGGGTCGACAAACAACCCCTCCTTCCGAGCGAAAAGGATGCGCGAGGATCGCACAAAAAAGACAGGGAAACTCCTGATCACCCTCTCGCTCCGTGCGGAGGCTCGGGGGCTCTTCCTGCAACCAAGCCGAGACCCAAGTGACCCAGGCTCCCACTCGAGGGCTCGGCAAACGAACCCTCCTTCCGAATGAAAAGGATGTGCGAGGGTCACACTTCCTGCAACCAGGTCGAAGACAAGCAACCCGAACTTGCACTCGGGGGCTCGGCAAAACGCGATAAAGGGCATCGAGCCCGTTACGGTCCAGGGGTTCGAAGGCTGGGCCCCTGAGGGTTTCGACAGCTGCCCCAGGACAACAGAGTCAGGGATGACTATGGGCGAGCCCGTACATGGCCGAGGCCCAAGCAGGCGATTGCTTGGGATGCCCTAAGTCGTGTCCGAGACCGGCAGGGAGGTCTCTGAATGGGATCCCACCGTAGGGAGGCATCGAGCCCCCAGGCCAATCGAACGGCCCTGGGACCCACTAGAGAAGCCCTCTGGTACTTTTGGAGTGCGTCCCTGGACCACCAGCCGACCCCTATCGAATGGGCACGGGCCTCCACTCGGACTTACCCGATAACAGCTCACCGGAGGTGTCACTGCTCACGCCCACTGAGGGTAGCCTGGCATACTCCACCCCTCATTCCGAACGAAAAGGATGCGTGAGGGCCGCCCAAAAAAGATAGGGAAACCACTGATCACCCTCTCGCTTCGTGCAGAGGCTCGGGGCTCTTCCTGCAACTAAGCCAAGGCCCAGCGACCCGAACTCGCACTCATGGGCCCGGCAAACGCGATAAAACTCCTCACTCAACAGGAAAAAAGGCCCTGGAGGAGTAAATCCACTCCTCCAGGGTCTCGGGGGCTACACCCGGCGGGTGCGCTCGCGTGCACCCACCGGAACCACGAGTACAAAACGCAATCCCGACATGAGCTGCTGCAGGCCAAGTCTCGACAAAGTTTCAGGGAGAGTGCTCGCACTCCCCCAAGGCTCGGGGGCTACTGTCGGATACCATAAAAAGGGGTACCCTAAGCAAAGACCGAAAAAACTCATAAGACCCCAATGAGGCCCACTTAGTCAAACTAAGGAAACAGTCCGCGGTGATATCCGAGGCTAGCTCGACCAAAATACGGTCTCGGACCAAATCTATGGCTCGCCCGAGACCCCCCAGCAGGGCCTCGGACGCACTGCTCATTCTCCGCCTCGCCCAAGACCCCCCGGCAGGGCCTCGGACGTACTATTCCTACTCCACCTTGCCCGAGGCCAGGCTCGTCCCGCATCCTCGTCGCCTCCGCCTCAACCGTCCCTCTGGCAGGCTGTCCCATCCGTTTAATGCGTCCGGTCGCACCCGCTACGTCAGCCACGACCGGCAGGGTACAGCAACAGGGGCGATGAGACAACGGTCAAATCTCCTTTTTACCATCCCCTACTGACGATACAGGGGTTACTGAGCCCCGTAGACGCACGCCCTGCGCTATTCCACTTAAACCGGGTATGACGCTGACCGCCGAGGCCCCGCATCGTACACGGGTCACCTCTAAGGCCTCAGCAAAGCAGGCCTCGGCACGACCAGCTACAGCACCTGCCAGACCTTGGCACTCCACCAAGTCAAAAATCCACAGGGCTCGGCATGTCTCCTACAGTGGAGGCCATGCTGACTAGACGTCAACAGGGACTCCCACGACCTCAACAGCCTCGGGCATGGCCGGCGTGACGCACCAGTAATCAAGTATTGATTGCCATTCCCAACACCATGCTGCTACATGAGTGGGCTACATTGCTAGATCTTCCTTCCTCATTAAGGCTCCACGTGTAGCTTTCTCGTGTACTCCTGGCTCCCTCCTTGTGGCTATAAAAGGAAGCAGTGAGGGCTAGCTCTAGGAATGGGGAGACATCCAGGGCAAGCAACGCACAACACTCTGTAATACACACGCTCCCTCCCTGCGAGAGATCAACATCTCAAGCAAATCACGCCACTCCACGCAGAGACCTGGGACTAGCTCCCTCTCTCGCCCTGCTTGTAAACCCCTACTACAAGCACCTCGGTGCAAGGAATACAAGATCGCTCTCTCAGACTGGACGTAGGGCACATATTGCCTGAACCAGTATAAACCTTGTGTCTCTTTGCATCACCATCCGGGATAGGGACACACAGTACATTTTCACTAGCCGGTTGAGGACCCCCCGTTCCGAAACACCGACAATTCTATACATGAGTTACACAAGAGGAAGTGCAACAGAAAAAGTAAAAGTACAAGGCCACAAGGCCCAAAGGAGAATGGAAACAAAGTCTAAGTGTAATTCTCCTTCCAGTTGATTAGTGCAGCCTGTCTACTTGGCTTGGCCTTTGTGCAAACGAGGTCAAGTTCCTCCTTGAACCGTCTTCTCCAGTTGTTGAGGTTGATCTGCCCATTGTCAAAGATGACTGCATTTCTAGATTCCCAGATACAGGCAAGGCAATGAATTTGCTCACATCCTACAATGCACAATTTTCATCATGTGCCAAAGTTTGGGAAAGCACTGAAGAGAAAGTTTTTTATGTTGGAACTTAGATTACCATTTCTGCAGAAAGAGTACCATCAGATTTAACTCCAGCAAGTAGAAAGCACAGGAGATCGATCCAGTTACGAACAAAGGGATTTTTCAGCCCCAGCGAATCAACAATTTCTTTGAATGGACGTAGCAGTTTTGTAGCGCCCAGAGCTCCTTGGGGTCCCATTTGTATGAATGATTTCAACAACGAAGGAGCATATCTACCAGCAGCTGTAGATAGAATGCCTAGATCGCCTCGAATAGAAAGTGGAGGCAAAGCCATTGCAGCTGCAGACATAGGAATAACTGCAACCTGAGATTGTTTTCAGTATGGTATTAGCACATGTTTTAAGGGAATATAAGAGCATCCTAAGTTACGAACTTCGTGTGATACAGTGTATGCAAGTGCTAGCACACAAGGAGGATAACACCTAGTGCAGTACCCATGCATTGTTCAGTAGTTCAAAGTGTTCATCTACATCTAGCAAAGACTTTACCAAACCCATGAATCTAAATATGAAGCGAACTCACAAGAAGTTTTTTCCACTCCTGGACAGCGTCAACACCAACAAACATCTCAAGGTCCTGCAGCGATTACAAGTCAGGTCTCAGGATCCAATCAAGAGAGGGAGCATCCCAACATAAACAAAATGCTAACAACAGATATTGTTAAATATGAAAGAGCATTGCTGCATCTAATAATCTGTGCTGGTTACCCCAGAAAATCTTAGCCAACTATTGCAAGAGAAACCCCCCTTTTCCCTCTTTTGATCACAACAACTAAGTGTGCACTGTGGAGCATACAACATCCCAGGGTAATCGGGTATCATCCAAGGACCCCTTTGTACAGTATTGAAATGGTCATAAATTGAGCCATGTCTGTTTATCATTCATAAACAACTCTTCTTTGGCTTCTTCATTATTATCATTATAAGTATACGCACAAAAAATCGATTATGAGGATACCCAATAGTTATTAATTAGACAATAATCAAACATGCAAATGAGTACTGAACCAACTTGCAGAAAATCAAGAAAATGCACAAGATAAAATTGAGACTGTAGTAATGTACCGAATGGCCTAATCAAGAAATATTACCTTGAGGAATTTAGTTGGTCCTATCCGTGAGAGGAATTGTCCTTCAGGTACATAAACCATCCAAGAGTCATAAGACACGCAAGGGACTGATTGGCCTAACGCATCAAGGACTTGAGGCAGGCAAACAAATCAGAACAATTTGAAGCTGTCACCTAGATCAATACCATTGTCTGTCTCCGTCCATCCAAGTCCAACTACAAAAATGACAAAAGGCTATGCACAATGACGTAGCACTTCACCTGAGCAAGTGGATTTACCTGGGGGGCTCTGGACTGGAACCCGGAAAACAGGATGGCCCTGAATCGAAGCTGAAGCCCTTGATATCGAACGAGTGCGCGGCGCCTCCTGGGCGGTCATGGCTCTCAAGCACCAGCACGTCCTGGCCGTACCTCGCCAGGAGGCCGGCGCAGCACAGGCCGCCGAACCCGCTGCCTATCACAACGACGTCCGCTTCCGGCCGCTCCACCGCCCTGGTCGACCGCAGACCAATCCAACCAACGCAACAACGGCGAGGCGATGCGGGGGCGAAGTCTGAAATCCGAACGGTCAGTTTGGTTGGCGCGTTGTGGTCCGTACCCGGAAATCCCGCGGTTCTGGCCCTCGGGGAACGCGGGGTCGGCGGGGCGCTCGTCCGCAGCCACCGCGCGGCAGCGCGCCCTTGCAACGGCGGCGGTTGCCGAGCGCGCACGCGCACGCAGGGGCGGACGCGACGAAGGGGCGGCAGGGTGTCGGCCGTGCGGAGGCCGCAGCGCGCGGGAGGCCAATGTGGAGGCAGCCACCTCGGACGGAGTCGCAGAAGCGGAGGGCGACGGCGTCCGGCGAGGCGAAGGTAACTGGTGGTAGACGACGAGCAGGGTGAGGAAGGCGAGGGAGTAATACGAGTGAGGCCGTGGCTGGGGACACGTGGCGCCTCGCCGGCCGTTCTCCATTCGCGGCGGCCGTTGCCTCGTCCAGGAGACCAGGACGGAGCCGATGCCACCGCGCGGTGGATCAAAGCCACATGTGCCCATAGAACATGGAGGCCCATATGCTCAGAAAGTCGGCCCGAAGTGTCGATCCGGCCCATTAAACATTTATACTTTGCTCGTCTCGCCGTCGCCGTCGAGGCGAGCTCCGTTGAAGCTTGCTGCAGGGCCTAGGTCCGTTCCAGGCGGCGGCGGACAGGCAGCTCTCCGCTCGGCTTGGCTAGGTCGGCTGCCGCGTCGCGCACCTGCTGGCGGGCAGTGGCCAGCGGCTGGGCGGTCTGAGGCAGGGGCAGCGCCGCCGCAGCTAGGGGCGTCGTCACGCTCGCACCCACTGAGGCCGGCGGCGGCGGCTCCGCGGCTCGAGGTCGGCGCGTCAGTGCGGCACCGAGCCACCGTCCCACCGAGGAGGCTGGAGCACCGTGCACCGAACAGCGAACAACGGAAGAGGAGCAGCCGAGCAGGTTTGAATACTCAGTCTCTGATCGATTGCAGCACCAACTGTGAATCAATTCAATGTTCAATTGGCTTCCCATTTACTGATATTAGATCAGTATTTGATTTTTGTGAAACCCCTTCAATATTGAGAATAAGGGCAAAGTAAGAGAAAGACTAGACTCAGGAATATACGGGTAGAGACAGACAGAACTTCCAACATCTTTTCACTTAAAACTGAATCTTGATCACCAAGATGGCGATGGCAACTATTGTTGTTATCGTGAGACAGTGGAGAGCTTATCGAGTGGTCTGAATAGTTCAGAGATTAAGTGTGGGACTGGAGGTGCGCGCCTCCACGCTTACTTTAAATGGTTTGAAGCAAAAGACATAATGACACAATAGCCGGTCTGTCATCCAGTGGTGAAAATAATCAGAAAGGCCAAGCTTTGATTCGTTGAACAAGGCAACAAGGCCATCAGCAACGACTAACGATTATTAATCCATGCAATCTGCTACGCACTTAAGAAATCATCAGAATAATACATACTCAATCCTGCTTATTAAATTAGAGATCAAGATTGTATCAATAACATTGATTAGAATTGCTACTCGCAACCACCAATTTCACTGTGAGTCCATTTGTGCTCACAGTTGCATCTGCTATATATTATGTGTTATATCTGCTATATATTATGCAATTATAATTGTGTGGTAGTATATATGCCAAATACTAAACTTTAGGTTGTTACTTTTTTTTAACCCCCTTCATATCTTTTAATACCCAACCTCAAAATACTGGACCCACCACTATTGAAGGCAGGGGAGAGGTTCCAGCTATGCTCGCCGCGCAGCCGCAGTCGCCTGAGGTGGCGGGTGAGGATGAGAGCAGTTGCCACGGTGTCTTCATGGAGTTCATGACCAAGTAATTCATCCTCTCTTATGCGAACGGAATCCGTTTCCTTTTTTGACTGAAATTTGCATTAACCTGAGCTAAGCTGATTCTTCCATCTGTGGCGACACAGGGTCGCTCAGTTCGAGGAGCTCGCTGAATCTGGGGAGCGATTGCTTGGGAGATTTCGTGAGGAGCTTGGTTAGTTACTCTGATATGCTCTCCTTCCTCTTTTGTTGGGAGAACTGATATGCCATGGAGGTTCAGTTTATATTATCCACTGGGGCGCCATTTAATCTTTAACACTGTGATGGTATTATGTACTGTTCACCGGTTAATTTTCTGTAATTGTGTTGGCTGAGGCGCTGAACAATCTTATTGCAGAGTATTTTCGTAGGCCGCAGATTCCTAAGGAATCAGATGTCATGAATCAGATACTTAAATCCAACTGCACTGTCAGAATGAGGTCCTATATTGAAGCTGGCTGCAGGCTTCACTGCCAAAACATCTCAAACATAAATCAGCGTGAGTTATATATCTTTGTTTGTGAACAACCCTTTTTATTCTTACATGCTAATGTTGATATGACCCGCTTATATGAATTTGTTCTGTACATGATTTTTTTTCCTGAACGGAAGTAGTACGGACTATGGAAGGTCCTGACTGTAGAATTTTCTCTCATATTGTGATTTTTGACCTAATTCTATGTATTCTGCTGTTATTCTTGGATTTCTTGTTGAAGTATGAGCTCTAGACAACATAATTGTTCAATTTTAATGATAATTGCATACCCTTTAATCAGTTTGATATTAAAATTTTCTTTTCCTTGTGCCAGTAAGCTCATGCGAAGATAGACTTAAAGATCATATAAAGAAAGGTACTTGATCTTTGTATCTTATATGAGTTTGTTTATCTTTATCCTGTTCAATATTCACAAGCACTTTTTAGTGCTAAGACCTTGCTGCAATTCTTGTGCAAAATTTATAGACTGCTTGAGTGGTCAAATGCAGTCAGATTGGTGCAGCAAACGTTTGATTGTGATCCAAAGGGATTTATTCTTATGTTGGACAGAGAAACGTTAACTAATGTATAAAGTGACAATCATAATCCTGCATTTTATGTTATGCAATAATGATAGCATACATAGAGCGACCATATCAATTTGGTCAAGATACTGTTTTCAGAGACCAACTCATTTGTTAACCGGTTACTGCCATGTTTTGGTCTTTACATGGCTGTTTGGCTCTACGTTTGGCCACAAGTCCCTCCTACCCCCTCCCCTCCTTAAGAATAGGAAGAAGGGCTGCCTATCTTTCCATTAGTAGACAGAGGGAAAACGTCTGGCCAAGATATATGCATCATTGCGATTGTTGTCCTTGGTTCATATTTTAAAGCTGGAGCTATGGGTTTATAATATCACCTTTTTACATGGTTGTGAAACTCTTTGGCTCTAATTGACCTTGTGTTCCTTTTATTTTCTCCTAGTTAAGACTTTGCTTGAAGAACTTGAATGTCTAGTCGAGAATGTCTATGGCATCACACTAACAGCCAGTTTAAGTGCTCTGGGAGTTTCAGACAGTCAGTGCCTTGACAACATGCTAAGTACCGATTGCTGCTCCATGGAGGTAGAGTTTTTTGTTTCCATATTCCTTAACTTGCTGTCTGCAATGATGAAGTGAAATGGAAAATGGGTGACAGGGTGTTTCTACACAAGAGGAGGATGAAAGTGCAGATCAGTTGGACACGGATGTATCATTTGTTACGGTGATGGTCATGGTTCGCAACATGCTGAAGCTTGACTACATGATGCAGGTAAATTAAACCACATCCATGTGCCAGCCAGAATGTGCATTTGCTGTCGCGCTTTACATTTTGTGGCATCCCAGCTCTATTTCTTTCGCCCTCTTGATTAACGAAGGCTGCCGTTCTCTTCTACAGGAAAAGATTGTCAGTGCATTGTCCTTGAAAACACCTTCATCAGAGCTCGAGGGATACTGCCTCATGTGGAATTTACGGCCATACATCGATGACGATGTGATGCGTCATGCATGGAAAATGTGTCCCTGAAACTTTTGGCCTGGTCGCTTATGCTGATAGTTATGCTGAAATGTTGCGAGAGGAAAACACCATTCCATGGTTGAAAAGTAGTTCAAGCGAACAGGGCAAGGGGGTGGATGAAGCAGGAAGTTGTTGCGCAAGACTCAAACGCGATCCTTTGAACAGCTGGGCATTGGGTGCTTGGAGTTGTTTCTGCTGTGATGGATCATGGATGTCTGGTCTGTTCATGTGTGATGTATGCGTGTGTGTTCATGATCATGATTGTGTACTGGAGAAACCCATAGTTTGTCAAATTGGGCCCCCTTTTGACTTTTTTTTTCAGAGAAAGATCCCAAAACTGCTTCTGTGTCACAGCGCTGCTGCCGCTGCTGCCTTTTTTTTTTTCTTTCTTCTCTTCCCTGTCGTTTTCCCAAACCCTGTCGACCCTTTACTTTTCGGAAGACAGTTGAGAGTCCTACTTGCTTCTGCATCATCAAGAATTCGCCAGATCGAACTCTTTGCTGCCATCTCTGTCGCTCGTATCCAGCACTTTTTTTGCGAGATCGAGGCGAAGAAATCGTCGCGTGGATCCTCCAGTTTGGGTCAACACTGTGTACTAGAACAGGCTGGAAGTGGAATCCAACCCGGGTTGCCCGCGCACAGCACACAGCACCGGACTCGTCCTTGTAGCCTTGTCTGCCAGATCGGCCGACGCGCACGCGGACACCACGACGCAAGCGCGGGCGCCGGCTTGGCCTAGCGATGGAGAGCCCCACGTCGACGGCGTCGCGCCCCGACTACTACGATTTCCTCGACCGCATGCGCCGCCCCGCCGCCGCCGACCTCTTCCGCTCCATCAAGAGGTCAGTCACCTGTAACCCGCCCGCTCCGTGCTCCGAAAAATCGTAGCTTGAATCAATCGGTCAATCTAGATTGATTGCTAGATGTAGATAGAGTGAGTAGAACGCACCTGCTTCCTATGGATTTCTCTGACCTGCGGTTAGCTTGGCGCTGGCAGCTTCCTCGTGTCCTTCTCCTTCCACGAGCCCAACGCCGAGGAGGACGGCAGCAAGGTCCAGGCCTTCCTCGCGGAGATGGAGAGCGCCATCAGGGACCATCCGCTCTGGGCCAACGCAACCAGCCAGGAGATCGACCATGCACTCGAGGTGAAGCCCTGCCCCACTGATCCTTGTTTTTCGCCTTCATTGACACGTTTTGGGTTCCAGACGCCCTGACGAGGTTTTTTGTGTCCTACTAGGGCCTGGAGAAGTACATCATGACCAAATTGTTCGACCGCACGTTTGGGACATCCACTGAGGATGCCGTTACCGACATGGAGATCTCGGAGAAGATTGGTCTCTTGCAGCAGTTTGTTAAGCCTCATCACTTGGATATACCCAAGGTCCTACATAACGAGGCATCATGGCTGGTAATTCATTCTGAGCTTCAAACATTCACAATGCGATTTAAGTCCGTGATGGTTGTTATAAGTTGCAAGGATGGGAGTAATCAATGTATGCCGCATTTTAATAGTTTTATATCATTATATGTTTGATGGAAATGAAGCCCCAAAATAGTATTACTTGGATACATTTGCTAGCTTCAATATATTGAAAAGGGTGTCAATTGTCAAGTATTCAGCTCTATTTTTTTATGTTATCAATTATGTTCTCATTGTACTGTATATTCAAGAAGTTCCTGGTTTTAATCATGTAATATCCAAAAAATTTAATTATCCAAAATTCCCATGAAAGAAATCATTCCAGTGATACAGACAAGGCTCATGCTAACTATGACCATTCTTTTTTCTGCACATGCCACTCTAGCTTGCAGTGAAAGAGTTGCAGAAGATTAATTCCTTCAAAGCACCACACGAGAAGCTTCTGTGCATCATGAGCTGTTGTCAAGTCATCAATAACTTGCTTCTGAACATATCAATGTCAAATGATCGAACATTATCTGGGGCTGACGAATTCCTTCCTATTCTTATCTATATTACTATCAAGGCAAGCAACTCTTGGCAACTGTTTATTCTTGCTATTTCTTCTTACTGATTGACTACAACAGAGAAGCTTTCTGAAAATTTGATGTAGGCCAATCCTCCTCAGCTGCACTCCAATCTGAAGTTTGTTCAGCTCTTTAGAAGAGAAACAAAGCTAATTTCGGAAGTCGAATATTATCTGACAAACCTCATTTCAGCAAAGATGTTTATAATAGATGTCAATGCTCGCTCACTATCAATGGAGGAAAGCGAGTTTCAGAAACATATGGAATTGGCAAGACTAGCTACTCAAGTATCTGTTGCTAGCCCAAGTAGCTCACAGGCCCCCCCACATCTGCAAGGGCAAATCAGGAGGAAATTGATATGGCAGGTTTGCTTACTATATTAGTCAATTTATTCAAAGTTTGTTTGACCATGGGTTTGCATTCCAGTTTTCTCTCACAAAACAGTTCATTTTTGGCGTCAAACAAAATGTGTTTTTTTTTGTTCAAAGAAAAACATAATATGGTTTGTGATCTTATCCAAGAACCATTTTACCTATCAAATAAAACAACATGGTTAGTTCTTGTAGATTTTTTTTTCCTTTAAATGGTTGTTATGCGTTCCAAGCAATTTTCAGGGTTTCAATCCAGTGCTTAATATTGTCGATTGAATAATCATAATATTCAAAGTGATACATGTGACAGGTCCCAGATTCCCTTTCATGGATTCAGAAACTGAAAGCTTGACTCCAGGGGAAGTCAAGCAGCTGCATGATTTGTATAGGCAAGTTGTCACAAGATATACACTGCTGTCTAAAGCTTTAAGAAAGTTATCCATAGATGAGGATCAGCTCATTAATTCAGTGCATGACTCATGAGGTGATGTGAAGATGCTGGTGGTATCAATCATAAGCAGCCTCTGTATCCACATTACTCTTGTGCATGTACAGTGGAGTAAAAACAAGTGAAATCTTCAGTCTGTTCGGTTGGCTGGTTCGTATCGTTGTTGGTTCGTGAAGAAGTACTGCTGGCTGGTTTGTGTGAGAGAAAAATACTGTTCCGGCTGGAAATTTACGATCGTTTACGACAAGCCACAGCCAAACGAACAGGCTGCTTGTTTCCATTAGTTGCAGCCTCATAGGAAAAGAACGAGGTCTTTAGAGTCAATGCATGTAACTAATTCTCCAGCAAGTCCAATGCAACACAGGTATGATCATATAATCTTTTGCATGGATGTCTGTCTTTTCAGTGACCTAAAGAGCAGTTCTTTCTGCAATCTCACTGTAGTTCTGATGCTTTCTTGTATGTTCCTCTGTTGGCACAGGGCACAGCAGCTGTGAGTTGAGCATTACGCATGGGAAGTGCAGCTTTTGCTAATCTTTCCTGAGCCTTGGTTCACTACAGTTGTAGCATTGTGGTGCCTGGGCATGGTTAGTTCATGGCTTATACTTAGGTTGGGGGTCCTTTATTCACCTGGATGGATCTTCCGAAATCAGTGCTGAAGGAACTGAAAATTGGCGCACATGACATTGCCTGAGTTATTGACTTCTAAACTGTGTTCGATCTGCCACCGGATGTCTCACAGTTTTGGCATCGATGGGCTTGCTGCAATGGAGAATATGAATTCTAACCTGGAATGTAGGCCAGAAAATCACTACTGGGACAGGCAGGGGTGAAGATGGAGTAACATAGGCTGGGAAAATTCTAAAGCTCAACATACTAAACAACAGAGTATGTTTGTTGATTCCAAATGTTGAGCCTTGAGGTTTGAGAGTTGTAGTGTTGGGGAAAATGTAAAGCGTGTAACACTTTTTTTTTTTTGATAAGGAACAAAATGTATTAAACTTGAGAAGAGTACACTTAGGAGAATGAGAATGATGTTCTCCAACTTCACAGAAGATAGAGAACAGGGGCAGGAGCCTCTGTGAAACTGGTTTGAAGTGTATAAATGTTGTGGGAATGGATACTAGGGGAACAAACTAGAGGAACTGTGCAGACATGTCGTGTGCTGCTCTGAGCAAACTCGGTCGGACGCTATGCTAATGACGATTATGTCAAAGAAAAAAAATATGACGAAGGCAGTTTTATGTAGTTCCCTTTTGTTAGACACCTGATTTTATTTTAAAAAACAAAGGGTGAAGGCAGTTTTTTTATGTACTCCGTAGTAACCTTTTGCTTAGACACCTGGTTTTGTTTCAAAACAAAGTTAATTCGTATCATGGTGCTCCTAATTTTATGATGAGTGGTATGCATGAGGGATATCTATGGTCAAGTTTGATGCTTCAGGTTGAGGTGAAATTTCGTTATTTGGGGACTCGGTATATCCGCCTCACCGTGAGACCTTTACAAGATGCCCGAAACAACTGTAATCAATAAAGGCAAACTAGATAAAAAGGTTTTACCAAATGGTGCTTTAAGAACTACTCCTAGTAGTCAATAAATAAATAAGAATATACAGGGTAAACTTTGTCTGGTACAAACATAATGGACGACTACAGTACAGTTGTGAACAACGAATATCTCATCTTCTGATCTGAAAACATGCCACAGTTGTTAGAAACAACCTCACACAAATTCGCAAAAAATAGGAACCTGCAGTAACTGATTAACTGGCACGATGCTACCTTCATTGTGTGGTCTCGGTTTTCTCATCACTGTAACCAGCCGCCCTGCCCGTTCTGCCTATCAAGATTGAATTTGGCACTGGACCTTCATATTCTCCAGTTAGACCACGGTATGAACGTGCCTTGAGGTAGTCGATTGAGGACATTGCTCTTCCTTGGTAAAGGACAGCGTCATTGTGCTGGTTTTGGATGCTTAGTGCCTTTTCTGTTACCTCAGCCAGTGCGAGAGACGTTTCTGATTGCTCCTCATTTTCTGTGGGGGCAAACGATTAGAAAACATGTGTGATAATTAGATGAAACAAAATAAAAGCAAATGAGTGACCCAACCACAGCTCTATTAAAGGACAGAACTTATTCAAACAGTGACAGATGGATAGACCCAACTGCATATGATGTACCTTGGGGGCAATTATCTTCCACATAGACACCTTTGATAAAAGAAAAACGTGCTTCTTCTGTTGTGCTCGCAACTTCTTGTTTCTCTAAAGTGATCAAATCCTTGAAATCCAAAAGATATTCTCCAGTCCACTCTCTTCCCCTGAAAACATGTTGCTTCTGGCATCAGAACCATAGCAAAATTATGTAAATTGATGCCACCCTTCATATAGATTTGTAATCAGGCACAAACAATACAAGTATCTTGGGTTCTATTAGAGGACAATAATGTAGCATACCTGCCAAAAGCTAGTACAGCTTCAAAAGGTGTAATAACTGGAGCTAAAAAATCCTTGCTATCCAGCAGAGCGGTTTGGGCACAAGAAACATAAATAAAAACTTCGAACTGCTCCAAGGAAAAGCAATGTCAGATGGTATATATAGGTGAACAGAGAAAAACAGTTCAGAGTTATTAAAGTAGCACACCTCTGGAAAATTCGCAAGTTTTGCAGAATTAGGCCTGCCCATGACCAATGTATAAGATTTCTTTCCAGCGGCCTTGATCAGTTCTTTCATTTGTTCGATTATATGAAGATAACCAGCTGCATCATCAAGGAGTGCAATGCACCACATCACAAAATTTTAAGTGTTTCTAGCAAAATTCCAGGCCAGATAACATGAGAACTAAAATGATAATATTCAAGTAAAGTGGTCGTATTTGTGATTATGGGAAATGCACAAAATCAATAGACCAGTAAAGAAACGAGGAATGTCTGGTCTAGGCAAACCATGAAACTAGTTAGGGAGTTCATCTCCCGCTTGATCTGCTTATAGCCAAACTAAACCAGCCTTGTGATGAACCAATCGCATGGATCAGATCCTGCATAGTATAGTGCCTTTCTAAGAGGCATGCATGGCTGAAATATAAAGGTAAACCTCATAGCTGAGGTCACAATCTAACAGTGCCTCAACATTGGCATAACTACTTTCTATGTTCAAGTTAACAATGTGCATACCAACACCCAGAGTTCCCACCAAAATGCCAATAATGTTTGCATCCTTCGCCTTCTCCACAAGGTAATATCTACAATTAAAAATTATATTTTGTAAGCAGTACCAAATAATGTAAGAAAAAAGTACATGAATGGGGCAAAAACAAAGTACCTTCGCCTAAGAATTTTCTTCAGATGAGAGATGTCAGCTGTGAGTTGATTTTCTATTGCGTCATATCTAACTACAAAAGAAACATTAACATTCAAATGCATTACATTCAGAAGATCCCTGCATTAGAGCAATTACCTTAACCAAATGGAAGATTATTTAAACTTACTGCAAAAGATGATCAATTACAGAATGGAAAATGTAAGCATGTGCAGTTGCAAATAATGTAAAGAAGAAGACTATAAGATCTGCATCACGCATCGCTAAGCAGAAGTTACAAGATCACTGCCGATCAAGAATCAAATTTTAGATTTCAAACAAGCTGTACTCCAAGTACATCACATTGGTTGCCATATGCAGTATTGAATATCACACTGCTGATTATTCAAGAGAAAAGTAACTACAAGCTTAGGAAAACAAGACTTGCACAAATTAAAACAATCCTCCTGCCATACACAAAATGAGGATGAAGAAAACACACCTATTTCACATTCATTGAAGGTAAGGACTATGTTGGCAAATGCTGAGTTATCTTGTCCAATCCAAAATATCAAATAGTCCTCCATTTTCTCATCAACTGAAATATTCCATGTAATGCCACCAAGGCTGTACTTTTGTGTGGAACTGGAACATTTCATGCCATAACGATTGTCCAGGAATGTTGCTACATCGCTGTTTCTTGTGATATCTCCGTTACAAGAGGTGCCACTCGACTGAGGAATTGTGTTTTCTTCTGTAGTACTTGATGGACTCATAACTGAACACAGAACTTCTGCATACTGGACTTCAGGATTGCCAGAATTTGATTTACATGACTCCATGAAAGCTCGTCTAAGATCATCCAATGCATATGCGTACTCTAGTCCATACAAAACCTGTTTGGTAAGCCATAATAGCCAAGATTAGTAAAAATAGAATACGTAGAATGTAAACTATCGTTGATAGCATAACATAGTTAATATTTGTTTATCGGTAAAACATGCCAATTGTACTAGTGAATGCAAGGCAACAGAAACCTGAAGTAAGCAGATCAATGAAAATCCTAGACATGACATAGAACTGCTGTTTGAACCAGCATAATGTTACGCGTATATTGCATTACCTAATCCTATTGTAGAGTTACTTGTACCATAACAGGAAGAGTGGAAGACCACAGGAAATACAAAAAGATTTTTCCGCTGACCTATTTTTGTGCCTGCACTGGCTATTACTAGATGTGGGCAGGATGCATCTATTTCTGTTCTGGTGGATTCAATTTATGCTTCACAGACCGCAGGAGATGGTTACTGTGGCAATTTGTCTGACTATGAGGTTCGTCTTAGGTGAACTGTCCATATAAGCCTGCAATAAGATTTAGTTCTAATTGAATGGTATGATAATGGAACTGTGTTTGCAATACTCAGGATAATTCCTATGGAGGGAGAAACAAAGGAAGGTTCATGGATGGAAACAGAGAGAGAGTGAGAGAGAGAGAGAGATGTAGGTCAAGCACAGGGAAGTAGAGGCCCATTAGATGGTAGCTGCGATGAACCCATGCCTCTCCCACATCCAATTGTTGGATTTAACTTGCCAAACCAGTGGTCAAGATCAGCTGCACAAGCTATTGATCCACCATACTTCTTCTACGAGAATGTTGTTCTTACTCCAAAAGGCGTCTGGACTACCATATCGAGATTCTTGTATGATATTCAGCCAGAGTTTGTGGACTCGAAGTACTTCTGTGCTGCTGACAGGAAAAGGGGTTACATACTTAATCTGTCACTTGAGAACAAATCACCTCCCCCCCCAAACCCCCCACCCAATACCTCCAAAGACAATATCCGAAGCATTACCTCTTACCAAGAGGTGGTGGCCGTCATGGGACCCAAGACAACAGTTCAATTGCCTCCATACTTGTGTCTAGTGCAAAATTGTTTGAGAGGATTCGTGTAGCCCTTACAAACAGTTCAGATCCACCTCCTCCAAGAGTTCAGAAGTTTGTGTAGGAGTCTAGGAAATGGAATCTCGCTTGGGTTGGCTTAAACAAGGTTGCTCCTCTAGAGCCTAATGAGATGGAATTTCTACTCGGCTTTCCAAAGGATCACACCAGAGGTATCAGCAGGACAGAGAGGTATCGATCTCTAGGAAATTCGTTTCAAGTTGATATTGTTGCTTACCATCTCTCAGTCCTCAAGGATATGTTCCCACAAGACATGAATGTACTGTCTTTATTCTCTGGTATTGGAGGAGCAGAGGTGTCTCTACACAGACTTGGTATATGCATGAACACAGCTCTAGAGCCTGATGAGATGGAGTTTCTACTCGGCTTTCCGAAGGATCACACCAGAGGTATCAACAGGACAGAGAGGTATCGATCTCTAGGAAATTCATTTCATGTTGATACTGTTGCTTACCATCTCTCATTCCTCAAGGATATGTTCCCACAGGCATGAATGTACTGTCTTCATTCTCTGGTATTGTCTTCATTCTCTGGTATTGGAGGAGTTATTTCAGTAGAGAAATCTGAGGTCAACAGGACGATTCTGAGGAGTTGGTGGGGTCAGACACAGACAGCCACTTTGATTGAGATTACTGATGTGCAGGCATATTAGAAGGATTGGCGGCTTTGATCTTGTGATTGGTGGAAGTTCATGTAACAATCTTGATGGGAGCAACCGTCACCACAGAGGTGGTTTGGAGGGCGAACATTCTGCATTATTCTACCATTATTTTAGGATCTTAGACTCCGTCAAGTCCATCATGGAGTGTTTGTAATTTTTAGAATCTTTATTGTATTGGTTCTAGAATTGTAGCATCTTTCTTTGTGACCAAACTTGTGAATGATTTGAAGGTTGACTACTGTAATTCTCATGTCACTCTAATTTAGGCCACTTTTAATTTAATCTCCTTTGGGATTAAAAAAACTATAAGAATGATGACCCAAGTAAAAACACGGCTTCTGCCCAAAGAAACTTTCTAACTATTAATCTAGCCAAGAAAATTACTTACTTGGGTAGCAAACGCAATCATTTATCAACATGTTGATCTTATAGTGTGGTTTAGCAAAGTTGTCAAGTCAAGAATTCAGATATGATGCTATAGGCCATACAAAGATTGAAGCTCATCACATGGACTAAACATAAAACTTTTAAGCAGAGGAAATAGTTTGGGGCATACCAGAATGCGCTTATTGCTTTTTCTTGAGCACTCAAGCAATGTGCTGGCACATGCGGGGATATCCAACTGTGCCTTCCCAAATACAAAGAAAGCTGGCAAATTTGATGTTCTGCATTTCAAGTTGCCAGTGCAAAGGTAGTGTTAGGCTGTTAGCATAACACAAACTAATGAGCGCACAGAATTCATTGTTCCCAACAAGTCGAAAAAAAATGGTATCAAACTGCATCTAATCTAACCATTTAAAAAGTATGTCTTAATATTTGTTTAGGAAAACAAAAACAAAATCAAACTTTTGAGAGGAGAGGAAGGGGGGGTTGTTGCTCACGGGCTCATCATGCAGGCGTGCCCATAGTGGACGACGCACTGCGCATCGATGTGGGACGCGCCCACCTCGTCGACGCAGCAGGAGTTGTACGCCGTGTCGGCCATCACGAACACCCTGACTCCACCACCGGCGCCGCCGGAGGCAAGCTCCCGCCGCAGCGCCCTCGCCACCGCCGCGGCGTCTTTGAGCATCTCGTCGGGGAACTACGGCGCCATGAGAACAAGCCGAAGCATCAGAGGAGCGCCAACGAACCGTCCACGAATCCAGAGAGAGACGAATCGACGAGGAATGGTTTGGGGCAGGATTACCTGGAGCGCGACCCTGGTGTAGACGCCGGCGCGGAGGAACTGAGCGGTCCGGGGAATCTCGTACCTGGAAGCGATGTCGGCTTCCATGGCCGTGGTTTTGGGACGTTGCCCGCCGCGGCGGCGCCGGAGGAGAAGTGGGGCAGCCGGGAAGGAACGAGACGGTTGGCTGCCGAGGGTTTTGGGAGGGGGCGAGCTAGCCTTCTGTTTGCGCCGTCGGATGAGAAATTGCGGCCCAGATGAAGATGCAGTCTCTTTTTTGTCAACGCAGACGTTGCCGGCGGCAGGTGCACGCACACGTATCACCGGAATGTCGTCCTCCTCCGACCCTGCCGCCACCCCGGCGCCGCAGTCTCCGGGCGTCGGCGGCGTGCCCCTCTCGTCCTGCATCGGCGACCTCCTCCGCTTCGTCCTCTCCTCCCACGCCGCCGCCTACCCCGGTGATGACCCGGCCACGCTCCCCCTCTCGCCCTCTTACTGCGCCCGCCTCCTCAACGACGGCGAGCTGTTCGGGAAGCTGGAGGCCTGTATTCAGCAGTGCCTCGAGGAGGGGCGGCTCCCGGGACCGCCGGCGGTGGTCGGGATTCCGGCTGCGGAGGAGGGGCCGGAGGAGAGAGGGTGGGAGCTGCTGCTGCTGGAGAAAGGCGCCGAGTTGAAGCGGGTAATTCGTCTTTTCGTTGCTTCAGTTCCAGCTGTGTTTCGTCGCTATGAACCATGAATCAGAGGTACCATTGTTGGCTATCCAGTAGTATGCCAAGAATCAGAGGCACCATTGTTGGCTGCTTCGATTCTTGCTGTGGAAGCCTTGCATTTGCTGCAACGTTTCGGTGCACTAGCATCAGTTGATTCTGAGTTCTGAGTTCTGACCAAACAGGATGAGCAGGGTAATTATTTCCACAAATTCCACTGCACATGGTTTCTGTATAGGCACCAAATCACGTAAATTGCATATCCTGTCTGGTGTTTGCTTGGGGGCAGTGTAATTTTTAGCTGACCAGTATAATGAAAGCATAGTACCAAAATTTGAAAAGTATAGTAATGTTCCTGTTTTTTTTTTAAAAAAAAAGAACAGGCAATATGGATTCCTGGCTGGGATGCAGCCTCTTTTTGTTGGGTTTGTAACTTACTATTTGCCATTTTTAAGCATTATAGGTCTACGATGCTGTTGACTTTGAGCTGCATGTTCAGGAACCCTACTTCACTCAACTCAGAGGTATCTCTGAATCTTTATCTTCTGGGTAAATGGCCTTTTTTTTAAAACTTCGTCTCACGTCTCCAAACATCAAACTGATATTCACATATCTCTTTCCTTGTATGTATCCTGTGTATGTATGTACTAATGGTGCTTTGTTCTTTAATCTTGAAAAAAATAAGCTTGACCTTTTCTTTTCCTTTTGTTCACTTTACACAACCAATGGTCTGAAATGATAAATATCATTTGAATGATTCCCTAATTCCTTCTCCATTCGCATGTATTTGGAACATGATATTATGGTCAATAGTTTAAACAGCTACTATAAGGCAGACCTTCTGTATGTTAAGATGGACCAACATACACTGAAATTAAACCCAGTTAGTTCACACTCCTATATAGATGTCCTAATACAGGCACATGACAAGGTATTGAGGTGTGGTACTATGTTTAATGTATTGTATTTTCTGCTTATTTATCGAACTTGTCGATGACAACTTATTTTAAAATGGTTGTGGGAAAAGCTGTAAGAAACTAATTTTATGTATTTGGACGAAGTTTGTATTTTAATAACACTTTGCTTTGACCTCCTTGAGGACCACCTTTCTAACTTGATGCATGTATACCTGTAGCTGGAGCCAAGAAGGTTGAAGGGAGATTAGCAACTGGTAACTACAACCGGTAAGCACATTTTCATTCTAAAAATCGGTTAGGGAATTCAAGGTGGATAAACAACTGTGCTTTCATGGAATCATAATGGTTGTTGTCATCAAAATCTTAGTCAAGTTGATGAACCAGAAGTATATCAATCAATATATATTAAAACTGAAAGAAATCTAGTCTTGTTTTCTTGTCCTTAACTCCTTATATCGTTATTGTTTTGTGGTAATGTAGATCCAGGTTGCTCCAGTCCTGGGGGAATCTCACATTCTGCACAGACAAAACTTTGCAGACAAATGCATCTTGCAGTAATGTGTGATTTTTTAGGAAAAAAAAACAGTCATAGGCACTTTCCCATTTTCATTAGAAAAAAACAAGATGTAGCAGGATTTTAGCTTCTTCATTTTAGATAAATGTTTACAAAGTTTCTAGAGTCCTAACAAATATCCAACAAAACGTATTACTTTTAGGAAATTTGTTGGCTCTTAATTTTGATTTCTTCCACTTTTTCATGGTTAGGAATTTCGTGTTACTCTAATGTGCACAGCTAACATGCTTTGTTACCTCTCTTTCCCAGGATTACTCAAGGTTCTTTGCTGCTATTCAATAAATGCCTCTTGCTTAACGTTGAGGTAACATCAATAACTAACTCGTCTCGGTATACTTTATTATGTTTTTTTTACATCATTATCTCATGTTACTGTTTGTGTGTAACATTAATATTTTAGAAATTTTCTTTAAAAATACATTATATTTGTTTCAGTAATACTCTATTGTGCAAATTTCTTAACCAAAGCAAACATTCACTTCATTTTTCCTGTAAATTTGTTAGTCTCCTTTGCTTATGCTTTTTTCAGGCAGTTAGGAAGTACAGTTCATTCTCTGAGATGCTACAAGCAGAGATAATCTCAAATGTCCTTCCTGGAATTTCATCAATTGTAGAAGGTAATTAGGAAGTGTTCTTGCATTGTCTTCGGAAACTTGGTCAACCCGCATGTCGACTGCATCTTTGGTCTTTTATAGACTAGGCTTTTAGGAAAATGGTACCCTTGTTTCTTATCGTGAATAGTTTGCACTTCACATTCCTTGTTTCCACTCTGTAAAGTGAGTTTTTTCCTCAGGAATTTGAAACCAAGTACAGTGTGTAGTCATTTAGTTATCTGTTTTACCTGTCAAGTATGTGTAAGATAGCTTGGGATTAAAGAATGCTTGGTTCCGATAGAGTATCCATTTCTTTTAATAGAATTATACCCAAAGATCTAAACGCTTCTTAAACAGTAGGTTTGACTCTCTCTGCAGGTGTGAAAGTATATAGGAAATTCTATACAGAGAAAAAGGAGAACTCTTATGGAGTTTTAGCGATATCAGTTTCAAAGCCAACATCTCAACCTTACGTAACCATGACTGATATCCTTGCTGTGAGTGCCAGTCTTCAGAATTTTATCCAAAATTTGTTCCATATATCATATCGCTAGAAAATTTTTTATACCATTTACGACATACCACTGTCATGTCTTATTTATCGTTGTTATGGATGCACTTTCTTAAGATAAATTGGTGGTTTGGCTACAGTGACATAATGATGAACACACTCTGTAATTCAGCACAAGACAGCTCACTATCTTCTTTGTATATCAGTTAAAAAAAATTGTTCGTTGGATTTTTTTTTTTGCATGTTGTTTAAGAACACCAGGCACATTCCCTACCAGTTATATTTGTGATTACTTATCTTCATATCCTGTCAAAGGATACCACCCTTCTGTTGTGATTGATAGAGAAAGGCCAAGAGGCTAAGCTAGAGAGTTAAGAGGGGAGAAGTCCCAGGCAACAAGCTGGGAGTACCTAGGTAGCACACTGGGGAGAACCCCAAGAGGCAGCCGATACAAAGTAATAGCTTGAGGAAATAAATACTCTAACACCCCCCCGCAGTCGGAACGTTGTTAGAACGAATGTTCAGACTGGAGCGAAAATCCATAAAAACAGAAGAAGGAAGGCCCTTGGTAAAGACATCGGCGAACTGCGACGTGGTGGGAACGTGAAGCACACGGACAGCCCCAAGGGCGACCCGTTCTCGGACGAAGTGAAGGTCGATTTCCACGTGCTTGGTATGCAGCGATCTTTGAACGGGGTTAGTGGAGAGGTAGACGGGCGCCGACGTTGTCGCGATGAAGCGAGCGGCGAGAATCCAGAGGGTGGTGCAGCTCTGCAGAAGTTGCCGCATGACTAGGAGGCTTTCGGCGACGCCGCTGGCAAATAAGACAGTATTCGCGAAATTGCTCGCTTGGTCGTAAACGATCGTAAATTTTCAGTAATAAACGATATTTTTCTCACACAAACAAACCGGCCGGTAGTAAATAATCCACGATCGTTACGACTACCGAAACAGTTTGTCGGCCTCGACAGACTTGACCGTGAAAAAATGAAATTTGGGCGCTGACGATCAGGAGATGAAGCCGCCACCGAGGAAGACAAAGATAGCCAGAGGTGGAACGCCGGGTGTCGGCAACCAACCCGGTCGGCGTCGGTGTAGACGATGAGTCGAAGTCGAGGCGAGAGCGGGAATGACAAGACCAAAACCGATAGTGCCCTCAAGGTAGCGAAGAATCCGCTTGGCAGCAACAAGATGAACTTCTCGGGGATCATGCATGTGCAAGCAGACTTGTTGAACGGCGTATGCGATGTCGGGCCGAGTGAAAGTTAGGTACTGGAGAGCACCCACAAGGCTGCGATAGGCGGTAGGATCAGCAACAGAGGGGCCGGCATCAGCAGAGACTTTGGCACAAGTGTCAACAGGAGTGGAACAAGGCTTGCAATCGGTCATGCCGTGGCGAGCAAGAATGTCCATAGTGTACTGACGCTGGGAGAGAAATAGAGTGTCCTGCTGTCGCTGAACTGCCACGCCAAGAAAATGGTGAAGAGGACCAAGATCCTTTATGGCAAATTCCTTCTTCAGTGCATCAATCACCCGGTATAAGAGTGGCTGAGAGGAGGCTGTAACAACAATATCATCCACATATAGGAGAAAGTAGACTGTCTCGGTGCCGCGGTGATGGATGAAGAGGGAGGTGTCGGACTTGGCTTCAGGGAAACCCAGAGATAGCAGATAAGAAGCAAATCGGCTGTACCATGCTCGCGGTGCTTGCTTCAAACCGTAGAGGGACTTGTTGAGCTGTCAGACGTGTTCGGGAAGATCCGGATCAGCAAAACCGGTGGGCTGAGAGCAGTACACCGTTTCTGACAATGTCCCGTGAAGGAAAGCGCTCTTCACATCAAGTTGATGGATCGGCCAGTCCCGAGAGTGAGCCAGAGTGAGGATGGTAGCGGGCTTGACGACGGGACTGAAAGTCTCATCGTAATCAACTCCGGGGCGCTGTGTGAACCCACGGAGCACCCAACGAGCCTTGTATATGTCCAGTGAGCCATCAACATGAAACTTGTGTTTGAATATCCATTTTCCGGTGACCACATTTGCCTTGGCAGGCCGAGGAACGAGATCCCAAGTGTGGTCGTCCAAGAGAGCAGCGAATTCTTCTTCCATGGGCCGACGCCAATGTGGAGTAGCAAGAGCATCTCGACAGGACCGCGGCAGTGGGGACAGAGCCTCGGTGTGTAGAGCAAGGCGAGGCTGTTTGTATCCGGACTTCCCGCGGGTTGCCATGCCATGAGAATTGGCGAGTGGCGGGATGGAGACCGCTCCTGTGGGCAGTGGAGGACCACTCTTGACGTAGCGTGGTGGAGAGGGAATCATGCCGGAGCGTCGAGGAGGAGCCCCAGTGGGGGGAGGAGCCCCAGCGGGGGACGGTGGTGGCGAGCTGGGTGCGGGGTCACGCCGAGTGTAGACGTGGACGACAGGCGGCTTGCTGAAGAAGTGAGCCGGGGGCGCCTGCACAGGGGGAGCCGTGGGCGCCTGTACAGGGGGTGTCGTGGGCGCCTGTTCAGCGGGCGCCGGTGGAGGGGGTGCCATGGGCGCGGTGAAGCCGGGTGGAGGAGACCGGGACGCCGGTGTGCCTGGTCCCGGCACCGGGGTGGCTGAAGGCACCGGCTGGGAGGGGGACCGCAGAGGTGTAGGCGGTGGCAGGGTGGCAGCGATCCCAGGTGTTCCTGCAGGGAGAAAAGGAACTGACGGAGGGTCGTCATCAGTTAGAAAATCCAGTTCGTGTGTAGGCGGGGAAGGCCGGCGAAGTGAGAAAGGGAACGTTGTTTCGTCGAAAACAACGTGGCGGGAGATGATGACACGGTTTGTGGCGAGGTCGAGACACCTGTAACCCTTGTGATCGGGAGAGTAGCCAATGAAAACGCATAAAGAATAGCGCGGGGCAAGTTTGTGAGGAGTGGTAGCAGTGAAATTAGGATAGCAGGTGTACCCGAAAGCTCGAAGATCATGATAGGAGGGGTGAGTACCATAGAGTGCGAAGAATGGAGTGCTCACGTTCAGCGTTTTGGTGGGGAGGCGATTTATGAGGTAGGTGGCAGTAGCAAGGGCATCGGCCCAGTAAGAGGGGGCATGGATGCTTGGAAGAGTAGGGTGCGGGTGACATTGTTGGTGGAGCGGAGCATGCGTTCGGCTTTGCCATTTTGCTGCGAGGTGTAGGGACATGACATGCGAAGAGAAACTCCTTTGGCAAGGAAGAAAGCACGAGACGCAGAGTTGTCAAACTCACGACCGTTGTCACATTGCACATATTTGATGGTACAACCAAACTGAGTGTGCACAAAGGCGAAGAAATTGGAGATAACAGAGAAAGTGTTGGACTTTAATCGAAGAGGAAAAGTCCAAAGAAAATGAGAGCAATCATCGAGAACAACGAGATAATATTTAAATCCGGATACACTGACAATAGGGGATGTCCACAGGTCACAATGTATCAGATCGAAAATCTTAGGTGCTCTAGACAAAGAACTAGTAAAAGGCAAGCGAACATGGCGCCCAAGCTGACAGGCATGGCAGATGGAGTCATCTGTAGACTTGCTGCAGAAAATGGAAGATGACTGGGCGAGACTCTGAAGGGCAGCCCTGCCGGGGTGGCCGAGACGACGATGCCATGTAGTTGGAGAAGGAGTGGTCACAAGAGCACAAGGGTCAGAGGGCGACGATGGGAGCTGCAAGGTGTAGAGCGGCCCTGAGCTGTTACATCGAAGGAGGATGTCCCTGGTACGGAGATCCTTCACAGAAACACCAAGAGGGTCAAACTCCACAGAGACAAAGTTATCAGTAGTGAACTGGCGAACGGAAAGAAGATTTTTCATGATGTCAGGAGCTATAAGGACATTGTTGAGACGGAAAGGGCCAAAAAGAGTGGAGTATCCGGTGCCAATAACCGGTAGAGTGGCGCCATTTCCCACAACAATGGAGGAAGGAAAAGAGGAGGATGGAGATACGATAACCATACCAGGGTTGGAGGCAATGTGAGACGAAGCACCCGAGTCGATCACCCAGTCCTAGGAGGTCGGTGGCGGGGTGAGGGTGACGGTGCTGAAGGCGTTGGCGAGGGACTGAGGATCCCATGGTGACCAAGTAGGAGACGTTGGAGGTGGTGCTGGCGTCCAGGCAGGATGAGGCGCCTGGGTGGGCACCTGTTGGTATGTCCCAGGAGTCGAAGGGTAGTAGGTTGGAGGCACGTCGGCCACCAGAGCGTGCTGCTGCAGCTGCTGCGATGGAGGCGGGCCGGTGCGGAGAGGGGGACCGGGAGTTAGCCCCGGGCCACATGTGAATGGACCCGGTCCACGGGTTGAGGAGGGAGGGCCACTGGGAACCACCGGGTGAGCCGCTGTTCGAACCGCCTTGGCCACGGCCACCACGACGACGCCGGCCACGGCCATTACCAGAGAAGCCCCCCCCCCCGGCGTTCTGTTGAGGACGCTCCCCGGCGTTCTGTTGAGGGCGCTGGGTTGCAGACCCAGAGGCCGGCTGGGATGCAGGAGGCTTGCTGGACGAAGAGACAATGAGAGCCGATGGAGGTGCCATGTTGAGCTCGGCCAGGCGCAGGTCGGCGCGGACGTCTGCAAAGGAGGGAAACGGCTTCTGGCGCGTGATGAACTGCGACATGAACTGGAAGCGCTCATTGAGGCCTCTCAGGATGTTCAGCACCAGAGTACGGTCATGGACGGGCTCGCCAAGATCGGCAAGGGCATCAACCATGCCCTTCATCTTGCGGCACTTGTCGTCGATGGAGAGGGCGCCCTGGGAGAGAGTACGGAATTCAGCGTCGAGGAGCATGGCGCGTGACTCGCGATTGTTCAGGAACTGTTGTTCAATGCCGAGCCACGCAACCCGAGCGGAGATACCGTCACGCTCGTGGATGACGTCCAGAAGATCGGTAGAGATGGTGTTGAAGATCCAGGAGACGACCACGCAGTCCATGCGGGACCACGCAGGATCGGTGAAGCGGGAGGCGTCACTGAGGACATGATCCTTCAACGCGAAGCGGCCGAGGATAAGGAGGACGTAGCCGCGCCACCTAGAGTAGTTGGAGGACTAGAGGTCCAGAACGATCGGAATCAAGTTCTTGATGTTCTGGACAGCGGCAGCCTGGCTGTGCAGATGAGCGATGGTCGCGGCGTCGGAGGAGAAAGAGTGATCGCCGCCGTCCTGAGAGCCGTCGTCGTGGAAGGAGTCCGTGCGGAGACGGTCCCGGGGCAGCGGCCTGCTGTTCCAGGGCGTCGGCCTGCGCGCGCTCCTTCTCAAGGGCGTCAGCGGCGGCACGAACACGATCCTGAGCGGCAGCAGCGGACTTGAGGAGATCAGCCTCCGTCTGAAGCTGCTGGCTGCGGTTGGTGTTGGTGGAGTGCAGGGAGGCGGCCTCCTCCTCCAGCTTCTGGGCGGCGGCGAGAGCTTCATCACGAAGCTTGATCGCGGTAGCCGCGGTGGAGGCGCCGGAGGTTGAAGTGGCCATGGGCGCGCGGCTGGGTAGCTTCAGGCACGCCGGCGGCAGGGAAAGGTCGCGGGCTGCGGCGGCAAGGAAGGGCGCGCGGGGTGGGCGCGACCCGAGGCGCGCGCGCGAGAGAGAGGAAGGGACAGGCGCGGCTCGAGGCGGGCGCCGAAAGGAGCGGAAACAGAGGAAGCAGAGGAATCGTTAGTCTGATACCATGATAGAGAAAGGCCAAGAGGCTTGGATTACTTAATGATGAGATTACAAGAGGGTTACATATATATAGAGAGAGGCTAAGCTAGAGAGTTAAGATGGGAGAAGTCCCAAGCAACAAGCTGGGAGTACCTAGGCAGCACACTGGGGAGAACCCCAAGAGGCAGCCGATACAAAGTAATAGCTTGAGGAAATAAATACTCTAACAGTGATCATCTTGAATACTGTTAATATGGATACTTAAATGTTCTAATAGGTTCTTACTCTGCTTAGTTTCTTATATTTGGTCAGGGATTGGGCTATGATGGATTGGGTAGACTCCTTGGTATGGCCAAAACAACTGGAACTGTTCCAGATGGACTACCTCCTCCAAGATCTGCACTGTTATCATCTTGTATGAGACTACTCCAACCAAATGTAGGTTCAACTCTTATGACTCTGCCAATTCATCTGAACATCTTGTTCTTGAATCTTACAGAACTTCCACCATTTGAAATTTCCCTTGCACCTAAAACTGGCACTGTCTTGTTCAATTGGAGGTGAAAGGCTGTTCTTTAACTGATGGTGCAAGGGCATTGGCCAAACATGTTCACAGGAGTAGGAAAGGATGGTGGGGCAACTTTAATGGGAGTGGTAAAGATAAAGTCCACCTTGATACTCCAGAGTCCAGAGTTCGAGACTGCTGTTGTAATCTATTTCATTACTGCGTTGCTTGTCTTCAGATTCGAGCAAGAACCAAGTTGCATCTGAAACTGTTGACTCTTTGTTGCGTGAGTGTTGTTGGATGAATGTTCATCGGACTCCACCCTATGGTCCTATTTTTGAAATCCGTGTGCATGAAGGTTATGGCGCCAGATGGTCTCAAGATGGTTCAAAGGTACAAGTATGAGTTTCCTATTTCTTAGATTAATTTTAAGTCTGGACGCTGATGTAAATAAGTGGCATACCTCAAACCCTGTGCTGTTAAAGTAAAATCAATTCGTCCTTAGTGTACTATGCTGTCGTAATGAAGCAGATACGTGGAAGTTATAGTTTACTAAAATGCTAATGTATCAAATTGAAAACAATGGAGAAGTTTCAGCACAAATTTAAAACCGATATCATTAGTAAATTTGTTCAATGATATGCCCCCTGCCGAGCACTCCATAATCTCCCTAGGTAAAAGTGTGTACAATAAATATTTTCCTAGTTTGCTGGTTGCAGACTCAGTACCTTTTGGTTCATCTGTAATAAAGTTAAGGTCAGTCAGGAGTCATTCTTAATGCTATTCGCCTATTCCTTAGGTTGCAATGTTGCATTCATCATTTTTCAGAACTTTTTTCATCCACATAAAAAAATTGTTTAAGGACTTTTGTACCTCAAACAAGCAGGAAAAACATCATATCAAATTGTAACACCACAAAGAAGAAAAATCGATAAGTTTCACCGTGATTGTTACTGTCCATATGCACATTGCCATAATGTTACTGAGCTAATTTTCTGAAAGAAGATATACTAAATCAATGAGCTGGAGCAACAAATGTTTATTGAGAAAAGATTGTTGTAATGGTCGGTGTAGATTGGCTGGCAGTGGTTTGTTCACTTGATATCTGGTGCTGAAAGATTCCAGAAGTGATCCAATCAAGATACCAAATCCTACAGAAAAATAGCACAAGTTGACTAATAATGACGATCTGGCAAATTTTCTATTGGGGTGTATTCCTTCTGCCTTGATACATACTCATGAACAGCTAATAACAAGTCAAACACTTGATGCCAACATGTTTTCTATAATCAGTGTCTACCATGTATATTAATCTATTCCAGAATGTCAGGACATTGCAGTAACTTTAGGCTGAAACAATTTCTAAACTATGCCCGATCATTCAACTGCTTGCTCGCCACATTTGCAGTTCATTGGATTCCTGGAGCCCTACACCCCAGAAGGCTATTCTAAAGAATGGAAACACTAGCACTAGCTAGATACCTAGATCATGATCTGTATTAGCAGTCTATCAGGGTTCATTTGCATCTCCTGAACGTTACTGAGGATACTTGTCTTGCTCAAATAAAGAGACGATCATGTGTTACATCAGCTGCCTGCCTAATAAGATTTACTGTACCTTTTCCCATTGGTGACCGAAGAAAAGGGGCCGAGGAACATTGTTCCTTGTACGTTTTATGGTCAGATACTGTGATTCTGAAGTTTTTCTTAGGATCCATGTGTTCTTTTCTCGGCATAATGGTTCGAAACTGCATTTTCTGTTGGTCAATGAGTGTGCATGGATTATTACAGATTTACAGTTGGTCACTTCTGTTAGAGAATTTAGGATCAACTAGAGGTAGATCTAGTGGGTTGACTTTACTAATTTGGCCGTCCTGTTCGCTTGATTTATAAACCGTGTTTTTTTAGCTAACGGACAGTATTTTTCTCTCACAACAAATCAGCCAACAGTACTTTTAGCTATGGCTTATTAGCCAAGCGAACAGGGTAATAAACATCATATAGTTCATCGATGTGAAAAAGAGAGAGAAGCACATACCTTCGGCTTGGCAGAGGAGGTAGAGGAGGAATAAGTCGCCATGGCAGTGGCAACGCAATGTGGAGCGGTGGAATCCAAAGGACGGCAGCGCGGCCGATGGTGCTTTCCGTCACTACAGCGCGCCCGCGATCGAATGGGGCCTTCTAGGGTTTGTCAGTGGGTTAGCGGCGTCGGTCAACCTCGTTCCCCATCTTTCTCTTTTATAGCGCTGTGTGACAGGGGCCCGCCGACCAGGAGTCAGTTGAGCGCCCCCATCAGAACGCGGTCAAGGGGTCCGACTCGATTGTTGGATCAAGTCAGATGAGATCAATCCTAACATTCTCCCCTTTATCTCATCTTATACTTTAAGCTTAGTCTTAAACTTAAAATACTTAACTTGACACCCATTTCATTACAGATTAGTGTATAGAGCATGCCTCGTCATAATAGTCAACACTATCAGATTAACAGGCTACAATTCACATTTCTATTTTGAAACAGATGTTTAACTTATTCTAGGCCCTTAGTATCCAGAAATCATAGGCTTTCCCGTAAACCCATGTCGACTGTGTGTTCTCTGAACGCACTGAGTGATAAGCCTTTGGTAAGCGGATCCACAAGTACTTGCTCGGTACTTATATACTCAATGCTTTTAAAATGATTCTGGATTTTCTCCTTTACAACATATAACTTAATGTCAATGTGTTTGGCAGAACACTTGACCTGTTGTTATAGGAGTGAACTATTTTAAATGGTTATTGTTGTTGTCTACCATTGTTAATTCCGGATACAAATTCTCTTAACCACTTTTGCCTGCCCCTGAAGCCTCATAACAAGCTATACTATGGGTATACATCATTGATGATACCACAACGGTTTCTTTGGAGTTTTTCCACAATAAAACTCAAACTGCGAGTGTTAGCAACTACTGTGGATTTCACTACATATCTCGCCGAAGTTTAACATTTGTACCCATAACTATTTGAGAGTACTTGTTCTGTCTTACTCAGCATGAGGCCTATAATACTTCGCAAAGTTGCAAGACATTCTTAACTCTATTCCAGTGATCTATATCTGGACTGGACTTCTACCAAAACATCCCGGATACGTGAGCTACGTCAGGGTAAGTTCTTACTTGTACACTCATTAAGCTTCCAACATCTGAACCATATGGAACCATGTTTATTTGATCGATCTCATATTGGTTCCTAGAACACTGAAGGTTTCCAAATCTATTACCCTTGACTATAGGAGTAGGCGTAGGTTCACTCGCATGCATACTTTATTTCTTTAAAATCTTTTCTAAGTACGCCTTTGCGATAGTCCTAATACCCCTTTTCTTCTATCTCGGTAAATTTCAATTCCTAGAACCAATGACGTTTCACCAAGATCATTCATATTGAAACTTGAGGACAAGAACTTCTTCAATGACAGATTAACATCACTACTAGTGAGTAGGATGTCATCTATACACAGGATGTGGAAAATAAATTTTCCATTCTTGAACTTTGCATAAACGTTATTGTTCTTCTCATTCTCTTTAAACCCAAACTTTCTTATTGTTTCATCAACTTCAAATACTACTGTCTAGAGGCTGTTTTAACCCATAAATGGATTTCTACAGGCAACATCCCATATGTTCTTTTGCTTCCACGACAAAACCTTTAGGTTGTGCTATATAAACATTTTCATACAAATCCCCGTTGAGTAATGTCGTCTTTACATCCATCTAATGTAACTCTAAATCGTAATGTGTCACTAACGATATTATGATTCTAAAAAAATCCTTACATAAGACTGGAGAAAAAACTCTCATTGTAATCTATTCATTCTCTTTGTGTAAAGCATTTTGCTACAAATCGTGCTTTATATCTTTCCACATTCATTTTGGAGACACATTTTGTCTTGTAGACCCATTTATAGCCTACGATTTTGGCTCCATTAGGAATTTCTAAGTCTCAAACATCGTTGGTATTCATTGAATTCATTTTAGCTTCCATAGCATCTTGCCATTTAGACGAGTGAGCGCTTTTCATGGCTTCTTCAAATGAGGTGGGATCACCCTCTATTTGAATTTCTTCACTAATATAGACTTCATAGTCATCAAAAAAAAGCTGGTTTTCTAATTCTTTGAGACTTTCTGGGGCCTCAGCTACTAGCACTTTCGTATGGGGCTATTGTTGCTCTTTATTGTCAAGAGACAATTGATTCTATAGGCTCCTGTATTACAAGATTCTTGTTTATATTATTCATCTTCTTCGAAGAGCTAACAACATGTGTTGTGTAAGTCATACAACATCAACAGGTATTGAGAAATATATTGTTTTTGAATCACTGGAGTGGACACGTAGTCTCGCTTCTCTTCAAGTCTTAGGTCTCTACATATCATGCTCTCTAGATTATCCCATCTTCTGTAAAGATAGTGTATCTTCAAATTTCTTATTTGGGTTTAATCTGTTAAAACCTCATATGGCGCTTTAAGCACTGCCTTAATATCTCTGAGGCTCTTCTATTATGAATTTTGGCTGACTACGCTATCTTCCTATCTGAAATGTAAAAGATCTAGGAATTTTGCTATTTTTCTGCTTAGGGGTATCGTTATTATATGCGTTGTACTCCTCCGATGGTCACATTCATCTTAATTGATCTTTATCTCACTCTTAATAAAGAGTATTTTCTTAATTGATCTTTATCTTATCTTTCTTAATTATATCTTTCTTAATTGATCTTATAATTCTTCCCCTTGAACTGTGGCATAAACTTTACTACCATAATTTTGAGAACTATTCAGAACTCCTGTGAACGAGGAGACACTTATGACTTACTTCATTCACATGATTATGTCATGCAAACAAAGTTATTTCTTAATTCGTATAGGAGTACACTTTCCTCATTCCACTTCAAGAACTCAACAAGGTCTTTTATTAACAGTACTTCTGCAAGTCACGCTCGCATGTTTTTCTTATCTTTTGGTTAGTATTGACCATGACGGTGCATGTCTATTTTGCTATGGTCAATACTAGTATAGCATAAGAGCAACCT